TTCTTCAGAAATGGCCATTTCTGAAGAAGGGTCTAGGCCCGAAACGTCAGTCTTCCTGCTCCTCTGATGCTGCTTGGCCTGCTGTGTTCATGCAGCTCTACACGTTGAAAAAGGGAGTCGACTTATATGTAAAGGTATAATTTTGGGGGTGCTGGAAAAATGGGGTTTTCTTATCCAGAAAATCACCTTATAGACCATGATCTACTTTAAATCTTGGATGTCAACATTCTTCAATATTAAAACTTATGACGTGTGCATATTGGAGTCTTTTTTGCAACTTTTGTAAACTATCTTTTGAAGGTATTGGATAATTTCGCCTTTTTCCGATATTGCTTCTTTGTGCTTTATCCTCGTGTCTACAGCTCAGGGACAGGCCATCCTGCAGCTTGATGCTAAGTTGTACCCTAATCCACCACCTCTGAATCTTCTGTCTAATTGTCCTTTCCTTTTTCAAGCTGCGACCACACTAACACTAAGAGCCACCAACCCCGACCTTTTTAGCATTTCTACTCAAAACTGCACCCAAGAGTACAATCATGGGCAAAGTACATGCAAATTTCATGTTTTGCCATCGTTTTGCATAAAATGAGTCGCTAAATATACCTTCAAATATGTTCAATCCAGACTAGACAGATAGGATGAAGGTTGTATTTTTTTTAAACAAACCAAAGTGTTTGTGTAGTCTCAAACCAGTTTGAAGTGGGTGTGAGTTCATAACATGAAATTGCTTCTAATTTAACCCTAATTATATGCTTCGCTCAGATGCCACAGAAAGACAGTGAGTGTGGGAAAAAGACAGAAATGTCACACTGGTCCAGTCAGGTTTATTTCACTGAAGCTAGGATTAAGGGGTGCATTTCCTGCATTGACAAGAAATCTGTGTTTCGCTAAATTGCTTTAACTAACTTGAAAATGTTCGATGCTGTGATTTACTCATGTGCAAAGTAATATGCCAATTCCCCAACCTTCCTCTCTCCTCCTTTCTCCTGCAGTCTCCCACTTCCGCAAATGTAGGGTGGTTCTAAGGAACCATGCAACCTCATTCCATTTTATTAATCACTCTACGTTCTCACTTACGCTGTGTCGAAATAAGTGGCTCGAAACGTTAGCTTGCTCTCTCACCAAGGATGCTGTCTGACCCGTTGTGATCTCCTAGCATTTCTTGTTTTCAATACAGATTGCAGCATCTGCAGTAATTTGCTCCTACTAATTGGAAATCTTGTTTCAATCAAAATCATTTTTCACAGACTAATTATTCTCTGGACTAAAATATTTAAGTAAACTTAGTTACAGTGTCTTGGGTGGATTTTCTTTTAACTGCATGTTGCATCGTCATACTTATAAAACCCAAATAAGACTCAAAAAGTTTTCCTGCATTTTGAAGGCTTCAGGCCACTTAGCTGTGTAGTGTTAGGTGAAGAGGCAGCAGCGTGAATTTTGCGAGTTGAGGTGTTCGTGGATTGATCTCACTAATGAAGACACGCTTTGTTGATGTAGTGAGAGGAAAAACGCATGATGTCACCTTGAAGTTGCACAACAACGACTTGTAATTATATCAACTTTTTTTTAAATGTAGTAAAACGTGCTTTATAGTTGTGTTACCAAGTAAAATTCGGCACTGGGCCATGTAAGATATTAGATCAGATCAAAAGCTTAGTCTTTTGGTAGGTCTTAAAGGAGGAGAGAGAGGTGGAGAGGTTTGGAGAGGGAATTCCAGAGCCGAGCTGAAGGGCAGGACTGCCAGGGGCAGAGATATTGAAAATCAGGGATGCACTTACAAGTTCTGGGAGTAGACAGATTAGTTTCAATTGGCCTGATGGTTTTATTTTCTTGTCACTGACATCTCTCCAAATATGCCTTTGGTCCAGGCCTACTAGAACAGATGATGTGTAGGGTGAGAAAGATAATAATCAATATTTGGAATTGAAAACTCCACCATTTAACAATCTCAAGAATTTATATTCAAAGCAGAAGAGAAACTGAATGATTAAAGGCAATATTTACAGGTATGTGCAAATTGTGGCTTCAAAGAACTGGTTGTAACATGTTTCCAAAGATTGATATTGATGTTATAAATTTTCCTCTCTTGAATTATAATGATGTATATCTTACTTGAGTTATGTTATCAGCATTAATGCAGAACTGAAATAGATTTAAAACACATATTTTTCTTTTCCTTGTTTTGTTTCAATCAGGATGAAGGTTATTGGTGCTGGGGAAAGGATTATGTTGTCAAAAGGAAGTATTGACATCAAACGCTCCCACGGTCAGGTATTATTAATTAAATGTCATTTCTGTTTAATTGTGGCAGGCGTGGGCACGAACCGGGGATTCCAGCTTGTGCCTGCACATTATAAGTAGACACATAAGTCTTGCAGTGCAATGGTAGTGTCCTCACCTCTGAGACAGAAGGTCTGCATTCAAGACCTACTTCAGGACATTATGGCTTTGGAGATGTGTTATAACACGTGAATGCAGACTGATTAAAAGAAAATATGTCAGTAGACAGACTGAAACTGAACAGGGATCACTGGACTTGAAATGTTGACTCTGCTTTCTCTCCACAGATGCTGCCAGACCTGCTAAGTTTCTCCAGCAATTTCTGTTTTTGTTTCAGATCTTCAGCATTCACAGTTTTTTGTCGTATGCAACTGTGGTTGCTGTTCTGTCACTGTATAAATAAATACGTATTCCAGTGCATTAAGATTATACCTGATGCTAAAAATGAGCCTCAGTTGGAATTCAAGATCATGCTTTTCTTCCTACCGAAGTCAGGATTGCTATAAATTCATTCCCAATATTGTCAGCTACCTCTCAGTTAGTAACACTCACGTCTCTTGAGTTGGAAAATTGTGTGTTCAAGCAAACATCAAGGCTGATGTTCTAGAGCAGTACTGCAGGAACGCTGCCTCTAGAATTATAGAATCCCTGCAGCATGGAAGCAGGCTATTCAGCCCATAAATCGACACTGACCCTCCAAAAAGCATCTCACCCAGACCCATCCCCCTAACCTATCCCTGCATTTCCCATGGCTAATCCACCAAGCCTGTTATTTCCTACGGGTCATTTAGCACCGCCAACCCAGCTAAGATGCGCATCTTTGGACTGTGAGAGGTAACTGGAGCAGCCTGAGGGAACCCATGCAGACATAGGGAGCATGTGCAAACTCCACACAGCCAGAGACTGGAATCAAACCCAAGGTGGCATGGTGGCTCAGTGGTTAGCACTGCTGCCTCACAGCGCTAGGAAACCGGGTTCGATTCCACCCTCGGACTGTGTGTGTGCAGTTTGCACATTCTCCTTGTGTCTGCGTGGGTTTCCTCCAGGTGCTCCAGTTTCCTCCCACAGTCCAAAGATGTGCAGGCTAGGTGGGTTGACTGTGCTAAATTGCCTGTAGTGTTCAGGGATGTGTAGATTAGGTGGGTTACAGGGAGATAGATCTAGGTGGGATGCTCTGAGAGTTGGTGTGGATTTGTTGGGCTGAAGGGCCTGTTTCCACACTGTAGGGATTCTAAGAATTCCCTGGCGCTGTGAGGCAGCAGTGCTAACCACTCAGCCACCATGCTGCCCAGAAACGAAACTGTTTTCTCTCCTGGGTGGATGGGGCAGGTATTTTTATGGAGGAGAGTTGGTTGTTCTCCCTGATAGACTGATCTCAACCAATATTACAGAGAACCGGCTACCTGGCCACTACCATATTCTGTCTGTGGGAGCTTGCTACATGTAAATTGGCTGTCATGTTTCCTACATTACAGCGCTGACTACACTTCAGACCTACTTTATTTCAAATTGCTTTAGGATGTCCTGAAGTCACAATATATAAACAGAAGATAGCTCTTTTTCTTTCATTGTACACTCGTACACGAAACAACTTAGATCCTGTCACTGAGAACTGTAATCAAACCGGGCCACTTACAAAAGGATGAAAGACTAGTGTCAAACACTTCTGGCATTCAGCTTCCAAGTATAGAATTAGCAATAGGGCAGAGCAATAATTTCGTTTCTAATGTGAAGCACAGATGGATCCATTGAAATTATCTGTTATTCGATTTGAATATTACAACATATTGATGGCAAGTCAAAGGGAATTTCCCAGACTCATACCTGGAATGGATGGATTGTATTAAAAGGAAAGGTTGGACAGGTTAGGCTTGAATCTGCTGGAGATTAGAAGATTAAGAGGTGACTTGTTTGAAATGTATAAGATCCTCAGAGGCCTTGATAAGGGGAGACATGAAAAGGATGTTCCTCTTATGGGAGAATCCAGAACTAAGGGTTACTGTTTAAAAATCAGGTGTCACCCATTTAAGAAAGAGATGAGTTGAAATTTCTTCTCCCAGAGGATCATGAGTCTTTGCAGTTATCTTCCTGAAAATGTGATGGAAACAGAGTCTCTGAATATTTTAAAGACAGAGGTGAATGGAGTCTTGTTAAGCAGAGGGGTGAAAGTTTATACGGGGTAATCAGATCAGCCATGATCTTATTGAATAGTGGTTCAGGCTCAAGGGGCTGAATGGCCTATTCTTCCCATTGATTTGTTTGTTTTTATGTATTGCTCTCCATTGTAATGGCAAAATTACAGACAAAGCAAGTGCATTAATGATAGTTGAGGGAATGTTGCTCTCATCAATGAGTAAGGTAACAAAACTAAAATATATAACATTTTTGAAAGCATTCATGACATTTCTATATGGAAACCAGAGAACTGGTTGCTTCAATGTGAAGAAATCCACTGTAACTCAAAGAATTTTTCCTTCTGTATGAAAATAACAAGGTATTACATTTCAGGGCAAATTAATTTGCACTTCTTTTCTGAAAGTCATATCTTTACAAACTTGAATTGTTTTGTCAGGTTATACAGACAGGCGCGCCCTAACATGTGAACATCTGATTTACAAATGTGATCCTTTACAGGGGCATAATTTTAAATATCCGACCTAGAGTCATAGAGTATGAAAACAGATCCTTCGGCCCAATCATTCCATGCTGACCATAATAGCCAAACTGCACTAGTCCCACATTCCTGCTCCTGGTCCATATCCTTCCAAACCTTTCTTATTCATGTACTTATCTAAGTGTCTTTTAAATGCTGTCACTGTGCCCACATCCACCACTTCCTCTGAAAGTTCATTCCACGCATGAACCACCCTCTATGTAAAAAAAAATACCCCTCATGTCATTTTTAAATCTCTCTCCTCTCCCCTTAAAATTATGCAATCTTGTCTCGAAATCCCCTATCCTAAAGAAGAGACACCTACCATTAACCCTATCTATACTCCTTATGATGTTATAAACCTCTATAAGGTCACCTCTCAACCTTCTATGCTTGAGTGAAAAAAGTCCCAGCCTATCCAACCTTTCTTTATTACTCAAACCTTCCAAACCCAGCAACATCCCGCTAAATCTCTTCTGAACCTTCTCTAGCGACATGGAAACAGACTCAAGAACAGAACACCACTCTTTGGAGAGGGTCTAAAAAAGGTTTACCAGGATGTTGCTGGGTATGGGGGATTTTCGCTATGAAGAAAGGTTGGATAGACTGGAATGCAGGAGATTGAGGGGCGACCTAATAGAAGTTTATAAGATTGTGGATGGCATGGATAGAGTGGAAAGTATGAGGTTTTTTCCCAGGGTGGAGAGGTCAATTACTAGGGGACTCAGGTTCAAGGTGCGAGGGGGAAGTTTTAAAGAGACGTACGAGGCAAGTTTTTCACACAAAGGGTGGTGAGTTCCTGGAACATGCTGCCAGAGGAGGTGATGGAAGCAGACACACTAGCAGCATTCAAGAAGCACCTGGATGAATACATGAATAGGAAAGGAATAGAGGGATACAGATCCTGTAAATGAAGTCAGTTTGAGGATGGAAGGACAAAATGAGGCAGCGCAGGTTTGGAGGGCTGAAGGGCCTGTTCCTGTGCTGTTCTTTGTTCTTTGTACAACTTGGGGACTGCCACCTCTTTTGTCAGTGATTCCATTTGTACTAACATCCCGGTAATGACAGACAAAAGAATCTTATGTAAAATAGGACAGAATTGTATTATTTCCACATTTGCTGATGGCACCAAACTGGGTGGGAACTCAAGTTTGTGAGGAGGATGCAAGGAGACCTCAAGAGGAACTGGACTGGCGAAGTGTTAGATTGGAACCTGGCTGATAGAATATAATGTGAAGTTATTTAGATTGAGAGAAAATAAACAGAGGCAGAATATTTCTTAAACTGTGAAATGTTCAGAAATGTGGATGTTCAAAGGGATCTAGCTTTCCTTGTCCATGGGTCACTAAAAGCTAGTATACTGCTGCAGCAAATAATGAAGAAAGCGAATGGTATGTTGGCATTCATTTCCAAGGGATTTGAGTACAGAAGTAAAGATATCTTAGGAACAAATTACTGCAGATGCTGGAATCTGTAATAAAATCAAAAAATGCTAGAGATCACAGCAGGTCAGGCAGTATCCATGGAGAGAGAGCAAGCCAACATTTCAAGTCTAGATGACTCTTCAAAGATATCTTACTGCAGTTATATATAGAAACTTGCAGAAACTTCACCTGTTGTATTATGCATAGTATTGGTTTTCTTGTCTAAGGAAGGATATACATGACACACAGAGAAGGTTCACCAGGCTAATCCCTGGGAAGGTGGAATTGTGAGGAGAGATTGAAGAAATTGAGCCTGTAATCTCTCAGAGTTTCAAAGAATAAGAGGAAAGCTCAATAAAACTTTTAAAATTCTTTTGAGGAGGTGACAGGATGGATATAGATAAGGTGCTCCCCTCACTGGTGAGCCTAGAACCAGGGGATAAAATCTCAGATAAAGGGGCAGGCTATTTTATGCTGAGATGAGGATGAATTTTTTCACTCAGAGGGGAGTGAACTTTTGGAATTCTCTGTCCCATGAAGGCCATGAAAGCTCAATCATTGAGCTTATTAAAGACAGAAATTGATGGGTTTCTGGAGATTAATGATTATAAGGGACATAGAGATAAAACAAGAAAATAGCATTGGGAGATGATCGGTTGTGATGCAGAATGGTGGGATAGACCCGATGGGCTGAGTAGCCTACTTCTGTTCCTATTTTTGCTGACTCGTCAGTTTGGGCAGTGGAAATGAGCAGGACATCCTGTCTTCTAAAAAGCTTTTACATGTTAATATTTGCACAGTGTCGTTTCAGAGTCTGTGTGCCCATTGTGTTATTCTCTGTTTAACATTCTGCATCCACTGACCTTCAATATCAAAGATTCTGTGCTTAAACGACACAAAAAAAGGCAGATGAA